GCATTAATCTACACTCACCTCACTAATACCCAGGAAGGGTTAATGGGTACCTAGAGATATCGGGACTGAGCACGTAACAGCAGCTCTCATCCCCTCTCAAGTGCTATCTCTTTTATACTGAACCTACTGCATGTTATCCAATAATCTTGGAACTACATTTATTATTCAACTCAAGGATTCTACAGGACCGTTTTGGGGAAAGGATTCATCCTTGTTTTAGCAACAGATATGAAAGTCTTACCTTTTTCAAATGTAATTTTGTACTATTCTTTATACAATACAATGTTTTATACATGTACATGTAGTTTCAGTTTGGATATTCATCATGCTATTACAGTTCTTATCATTTCATTTCTTCTGTACTCACTTCTTGATTTTTTTTCTATTTCTACAGCGCTTAGAGACTTAATTGTAATTTGCGCTATATAAAATTGAGTATTATTATTATTATTATTACCTGGCAGGAACAAATTCCTTGAAATGCTTGAGCGATGTAATGGCAGCTACTGTATGCTATAAAAGCCAGCATAATAATAACAACAATGGATCGCCAGAAATACATGTACATGTAGGAATGAGCACTGTACACTATACAACAAAGACTCACAACTATTACCACTGCCCCAGGGAGCAACCATCCTTGTGTGACAATATTTTGGTCTGCTTTTTACAATTTTCAAGACCTTGGTCCTTTTATGCATACAATGGAATTTAGCTTTGAGAAATGAGCTGCTATGAGGCCTGTGAGAGGGACCAGTACAAGGTCTATTATAATAGAGCACTGAATGTTACATTTTTATTGTATAAACTGAAGGTGAATTTTACAAAGGTTTATAAAGACTTTATAAAGACTATAAAAAGAATAATAAGAGAAAGATCATTGAAGTTATATAGGGAAAACTGATAGAGGATCTACAATGTACATTGTAGATGTAAGCAACAGAAATGCCTAGGGTCGTTGCATATCAAGTAATCCATTGAATATTCAAAGTATCAAACAAAAATTGGAAAAACAGAGGAACTTTCTTTGCTACAATGTACATGTAGCAACCTAACTTTCTCAAGAAACAAGACTTCTAGGGCTAGAAGAGAGATATTTTCAATTAAAAACAAATAGTTAGAAAAATGAAAGAATATTCACAAGGTAAATCATCACTACTAATACTATTCATCTTTGATCAATTCTAAAGTTCTATAAAACTAACAACTTTTGTCTCCTTTATTAAATTTTCCTCCAATCATCAATGATATTACTTCTCATGTCTGGTTTAAAGGTAAAGACCAGTTTTGGAAACGACCCAATTTCAAAAAATGAAATGGAAGCTCTTATTACCAATCATGTGAATACACTGTACATTATGATAACAATTTTGCCTACCGCCTACTAATTGATACATTTGGTGAATTAGTTCATCTACATGGTCTGTGAGAGATAAACGCACGTGTCGCGCATGTGTGCGTATAGTCCCATACATCTTTCTGTGTACAGTGCTTGTAACTTTACGAAGACTGGGCCAAATTTCTTATCATTTTGATGATTCCAGAACCTTGCAGTACACACCAATACTTATATGCTACATGTAGATGATCAACGTTTTCTGATCGATTCCACGTTTCTTTCACAATGCAATCGCATGACCATAACTGGTCTTTACCTTTAATAGTACAAAGTTACAAACTACAATGTATCCAAATTACATGTATACTCCCTCACTCACTCAGAATGTACATGTTTCTAATTTCCATTGTCAGCACAGCACAATACCTTTACATGTGCCTAGAAAATGCACCTATCGCCATGTACATGCATGTATTGTAGGCCTGCACATAACCTTGGCCTGAGACCAGTACAAACAAATAAAGGCAAGGTTCGTTTGTGAAACTGAGACCACTTATTTCTGGTAATTAATTTCTAGCAATGATTTACAGGGCCTGCTCAAAATAGTATACAAATAATAAACAGCAGTGAGGTCATTAGTAAGAATTACCCAACCCACACAAGGTACAGTTGAGGGTGTTTGGACTGTTTTGAAGGTACTGTACACCGAGTGTGGATAGTTTTACTATTGCTCGAACAAAATGATGTGTATTATTTGTTTTTAGTTAAAGTTTAAAGATGATGCTTTATTTGTTTTACAAAACGATGTTTTATTATAACATGATTTTACTAATGACCAGTCATAATTAGTTACAAACAATGTACTAATGACGTGTTAAGCAAAATAAATGCCTGTACAACGTGTACGGTCTCAACTGAATATTTGATTAGGATCCGCTTCATCATCTAATATAAACATACATGTATGTACAGTAGGCCTACATGCTGTTTGCAACTTTGCATGTAGTACAGTATGTTAGTGTATATATTCACAGATGTACACCTGTACTATTTTCTAATCATTTGATAGGACTATAAATATGTTACGCTTTTTTTGCAAAGATCTTTCTGCATTCCCTCCCTCATGCTTTATAAAAAAAAAATTATTTTATCTAAAACTAAATTTATTTTCATACTATTAATAGCTTGGTCTATCAGGCATTACATGTAGATTGTAACTCATTACCGGTACCCATTAACATTAGGCTTTAAAGTTAACGCCCCTCTGGCTATACAGATGATATTACTTTTGGCCTGCTTCAATATTTTGGGGGATTTAGTTACTTTGTTCTCTCCATATAATAATCTAAGCTCGCCTACATGTAGACAAAGTTACAAGAAACATCATTCATTTTCATTGGATTTATGCCTCTTAAATGCTAGTTGAAATGAAATGAGAGATCTAAGAGAATTTGGGTAATTTCTTTTTAAACACAAGGACTTCTGGTATACAGGAAAATATATAAAAATATTAAATAACAGTGAAACTATTTCCTCTCCAATTTGAACAAAACTGGGAATCCATTTCAGTAGCTCTATTACTAAATGGATCATTAAACATGTTAAATTCGACCTTTGACTATTAATGTACATGTAGGCCTACAGTACATGCAATTCGCAAACAAGGACAGTTTTTAATTCAGTTTCAGAATGAGTCACTGAGTGATATTTACAGACTTCAACTTTTCTACTAAACTACAGAGCTTTTTAAATCACATTAAAGTCTACATACTTGTACATATGCATAAGATGTATTCACAAGTGACCGTCCTTCTCAGATCTTGATCTTTTTATTTATTTGAGAAAAGGTAGTAGGCCTAGTGGCCTACTAGTATTAACACTATGAATATGACGGACAAAGAAAGCGGACAAAATATACAGTTCCTCAGATACACAAAGGGATATCCCTTCACTGCTATTATGTAAAAAGGTGAATATGCAGTGAAGAGATGTTCCTTTGTCTACCTGAGGAACTGTATATTTTGTCCGCTTTCTTTGTCAGTCACATTCATAGTGTAAATGATGTCTGACTGAATTTTGTTATGAGTAATAATAAATTAGGCCTTAGTTAAAGGGGAGATAAAAGAAGCTGGTTCTAAAAGTGATTTTTCTAGAGGCGTTATTCAAATTCTTGGATTCAACCTCTCCTGCTACATGTAAGAAAAACAGAAAAATAGCAATGACAAACATCAGTCTCACAGAAACACAACAAGCAACACTGTTTAAATAACAACATAACATTTATGATTTAGAGATCTAGATCTACATTATTAAACAGAATGTACTACAGCATCTTTTCATAAAGTGCATAAGACAGAAATGGACCCTACTTAGGGTCTACAAAGAAAGAAAGAAAGAGAACATTATCATGCGAAGCTTACATTGATTACAAACAAAGAGGAATTAGAAAAATTGTGTTTTCAACTTTGCATAGATCTAGACCTACACTTCTTGAAAACTGTGAGACAGTCGACGGAGAGAATGTGTTTAAATAACTTAACCATGATAAAATTAACAAGTTAACCTTCTTTCTAAACAGAAATAAACGCTTACTGACTCACCTCATATGACTAACAAAATACAAACATCTACATGCTGCAGGTAGGCGCACAATAACAATAGAGAACACTTATAAAAACACACCGCTCAGCTCAGGTGATGTTTGGCCAACGAATTCTGCAACAATGAGCACTGCACTGCAGCTGCACTGCTCACCCACAACACTCACGGGCGAAGTCTGTTCTGCAGCAGTGTAGATCTACACTGCATTGCATTGTTGTAGACTTCAGTTGTAAACAAATACACCGCGCGCTGCAATTATCCTCTCAAAAACACCAGAAAATAGTGAAACAAGAATGATATTACTGATATTGCAACTCATTAACTATAGTTACCTCTGTCTCTTGATCGTCTAATTCCAAAGGGCCCGACGGACCGAAGTACCAATGCTAATTTAGGATTATCATGATACAGTTACGGTCGCGGCCATGAATAATATAATGATGAGCAATATTATTTCTTATAATAGCCCTCTACGACAAAGAGGCGTGCATGATTGATTGGTTAAAAAGTTCTGATATGTAGGCTACCCGAGGGGAGGCCTACTACAATAATCGAAACTAAAGATTGATTCCTGTGTTTTCAAATTGATGGGGGGGGGGGGGGGGGGGGGTCAATTCATCTATGATTCGACACATTTCTTGTAGTTTTAAAAAATACTATATTTCTATTTTAAGCTTGGCCTATTTCAAAATAAAATTAAAAAATGGTAAATGGATAATGTTGTGAGTTTTATTTATGTATGCATAAATCTATACGAAGCCAAAATCGTCAATTGCCCCCCCCCCCCCTCCCTCCCCCCGAAAATGGGATTATTTTAATAATATCGATAATGACATTGATAAATAAATGAATGGATCTCAAAAGTTAAAAAGCAGGACAAAAAGCAATTTTTTTTTCGAGATTGTGTCACTGGATTGGAATTGGAGTATAGGGATGCATATTGGCCGAGTCTCGCATGCTCATCATTTTATTCATAACGAATCGATGGGTATAAAATATGGGCCGAGTTTTATATCATAAAACTATTATCTTAAATCGATTAGGCTAAGTTTGAACTTACCTTTTCTGTTCTTGAAGGCCTAATATTGTGGGCAAAAATATCCTCGGCAGATGATTTCGGTGGACGACTATCCTTTAGCGTTGACGTTCACTTGGGAATTGCTTCTGGTCCGCAATATACAGGGTAATACCGACATTAAACCCCAACACGAAAGTAATGAAAAAGTGAAGAAAATAGCATTTCCCAAGCATCAAACCACCTTACGTTCACATAGCATCACGTGACCTTAAACTTAGCCAATAGCCATCGCAGGAAGTTGTATACAAAGGCGCGCTAAACGACCTGCGTGCCTTTGTATTCATTATCCAATTTGTTTAGGATGTTTCATTAAAATATTGTAAGGGGAAGCGGGAAGTGCAGGTATACAAGATACACTTGGAGAATGAAGGACAAGAAATGTACATAAAAGACGGAGACCGATTGAGATACCGAGTGCAGCTTTTGTGTAACGCATGCTTTGTTGTCTGCTTAGTTATACAACAAAGCTATACGGAGCTATACTGGGATTTGACTTTGCAAGTTGCATATAATGAGTTTTATAAAGCACCATATGGTAGGTTAAGGGTAATGTAATAGAACTAAGTGCTGTGGGAATATGCATGAGTATAAAAACAGAAAGAAACGAACAAAGAAACAAACAAGTTCAGGAAAAAAGGAAAAGAAATGCTGGCATGTGTTATGGCTCATTATTTATCGACTTAGACTGAGGCCTATATAGGGCTAGGAGTGAAAAGTGCCAAAATGGGATTTTGAGATTTAAAACAAATAGTGTCGGGCATATAAATTGAAATCAACTACCTCCATTAGATATAATTTTATCAGCTGTAAACGTTATTAAGAAATGGACAAATATATATATACCAACCAAATTTCAGAGAGATTCAATTGAAGAACAAAATGGTTTCACTCTAAAAAATATTTTGAGAGTGTTGGAAATGTGCCACATAATGATGTATTTTATGTTTTGTATTTTTTAAAATATATTTGGAATACTTATTTTGTCATAATTTTTGTTTTAGTTGCCCCAAAGTTTTCGCTCGTGGTGATTATTATCTGTGTTAAGCCATTATGTATGGACATTGTTTCTTTAATTATTTGTATAATATAATGTATGGGTATATGCATGATGGTATTTGTTTGAAAATAAAGAACCCTGTAGAAGGGGGGGATGATTAATTTATTTATGAAAAGAGTCTTTTCTTCAGACTTGGATGGGTGTTTCTCAGGCTTTTCCTAACACATATTATATGTTAAATATTTAAGAGTAGCTCGACGTTTGAAGAATATACATTTAAAACTTCTTGGTTACCCTTTTCTAATTACTATATAACAGATATTGTATCATTACAGGTTTACATTCATCAAGCTTCTTCTCAAGACAATAACTGTTGGAAAAACGTTTAGTTAATTGATAGTAATTGATTCAATATATTTTCCTATCTCATTACTTTTGTGATACTTCTTATTTTTTGTCTTTCCCTATATATTCTTATAATGTTCTCCCATCGTCTTCTCTTTCTTCATCTTTCTTCTTCTTCAGGCTCCTCTTCTTGCTCTTCTCCTTCTTCTTATACTTCTTCTGGCTTCTGCTTCTTTTGTTTCTTCTTCTTTCTCTTCTTCTTCTGGCTTCTGCTTCTTTTGTTTCTTCTTCTTATTCTTCTTCTTCTTCTTCTTCTTCTTCTGCTTCTTCATGTTCTTCTTCTTCTTCTTCTTCTTCTTCTTCTTCTCCTTCCTCCTCTTTTCTTTCATGCAGTCTTTCTACATTCCAACATAATTATAATTGCCGGTGCATACATTATTCCCGCCCCCCCCCCCCCCCCCCACTCAGATGTCGGAATGACCGCATGCGTGTTGCCAAAATGTCCGGTAAAGGGGTACTTTTCGTGCGACAAAGTCCGGCCCGAGATTTGTAAAAAAAGGGGGTGTATTTGACTTTTCACCCGGAGATTTCTTTAAAAAGGGGGTGTTTTTCTTTTTCTCTCTCATCTCTTTGGACTCCTGAGAAATTATTCCGAATTTAGGGGGGGTACATTGAGCATTTTTCCTGATTTAGGGGGGTCTCCAAAGCAGGAAAAGCCCGCGAAAAGCCCGCGAAAGGGGGGTTCGGAAATGTTGGTAGTCCTCAGATAGGGGGTGCTTTCAAAAAGAGGGTACGAGTATATGCGTACCCTAAATAACACTGAGTGGGGGGGGGGGGGGGGGGGCCGGGACATTATTAACTCCGTATATATACTTTAGACTTCGTATTCTTTCCCATGCAACTAACGTATGTGTTTTATGTGTTATACCTCCTGGCTATTGTTTGCATGGGGAAAAAAACCTAGACTGTATCAGCATTTTCTTCTCGGTGTGTGTGTGGAGGGGGGGGGGGGTGCAGGTAGATATATAGACTGGGGAAGGCTGACCTAGATTTATAAAAATGATATTATATACATACGATACAGAGAAAGAAAGAGAGAGAGAAAGAGACAGAGGGAGAGACAGAGAAAGAGAAAGAAAAAGAGAGAATGGCCAGGGCGGAGAGGCATGAGACCATGCTAATTAATGAATAGAAAATAATAGATCTTGTCAGGAGGCACAATATATACCCAGGCGTTTGAGGGGTGGAGAGAGAGGGGGGGGGGGGACAGAGAGAGAGAGAGAGAGAGAGAGGGGGTGGGAGAGAGAGAAGAAAAGATAGAGACGGGGGAGGAGGGGTGAGATTGACCCCCACACACGATGCAAATGACCCTTAATGGCTAGGTGCCCATGCTAAACAAAATTCATATGGCGATCCTCGACCCCCAACACCTGTACACAGAAACCATCGACATCCAGACTACACTTTACTATCAAGTTCATGAAAAAAACATCTGCATTTGACGTGCATGTACCGTCATCATCACCAACACTTCCAATAGCAGGAACAATGATAACTATCAAAACCACTATTCGCACCGCCACCACCTTGATTATCGTCAATCATAATTTCTAGCATCATCATTTACATCGCCGTGGTCAAACACCATCACCATCATCATTATGATCATTCTCATCATCACCAGAATCAACTCCACCACCACCACCCTCACCATCATCATCACAACCACCACCACCACCATCATCACAACCACCACCACCATCATCACCACCACCATCATCACCACCACCACCACCACCATCATCATCACCATCACCACCACCACCATCAACAACACCACCACCATCACCACCACCACCATCATCATCCTCATCACCACCATCATCATCATCATCACCACCATCACCACCATCATCATCATCATCATCACCACCACCACCACCACCACCACCACCACCATCATCATCACCATCACCACCACCACCATCAACAACACCACCACCATCACCACCACCACCACCACCATCATCATCCTCATCACCACCATCATCATCATCATCACCACCATCACCACCATCATCATCATCATCATCACCATCATCATCATCACCACCACCACCATCACCGTCATCAAGTTAACCATCATTACCTTCGTACATGCTACATTGCATTTCCATCAATAGCCAATCTCAGGGGCTAAAATACACCAGGTACATAGCATCACTGTAACAATTCACAACTACATGCACATCGTTTGAATTCGCTATCATCATTTCGTCCTTGTTTTCACGAAGTGACGGTAGTGAGGAAAATCGTAACGCAAAGTGAATGCAATTTTTTTTCACTAACGTCACTTCGTGAAAACAGCGACGATTTATTATACATGGTACTCGCTACTGGTAGTCAGCTTCACAATTAAGCTACATCTAGTGAAATATATACAGGTGAGTTAAAAGAGAAAACTTTTTTTTTTAAAGGGCAACTGATTAAAAATATAAACTTGGTTTACATGAACATGTTTTATAAAACAGACAATACCCAAAAAACAAACTTGAACAATAACTACCGGTAGATGGACATACAGAGCACATGCAAACTTCGCATGGCTTAACAAAAGCAGAACATTTGAACAGTAACAATACATGGTTTAAAGGACTCATCGATGGTAGGAGTATTTATTAGAGGTCTACTCTCTAGCAATAATTTGGTATACTGTAGTCATATCCTGATCTTTTGGCTACTGCCCATGAGAGGGACAACCCATGAAGGCCGAACGGCAGGCAGGACCAACAGTCCATGAGACCAACAAAATGTTCTATATGTATTTTCTGAGGGTTCAAGGGATGAACAATTTCAGCCTGGGGGTAGAGCTGTCGATCTACTTTAATTTCCAAGACATCTGAGCTATTTTAAACCCTAAATTACTAAGTAATGTACACATGGTTACCCCCCCCCCCCCCTCAATCTATTTGAGTAGCTTTAATAAACACAACAATCTTACAACATATTGTGCATTGCCTTAAAACATATAACTTCATAAATAAGTGCATTCATGGTCATTACTCCAAAAGCTGAGAACATCTGCAAATTTTCTGGTAGCTCCAAACTTGTGTGAGGACACCAGACTAAGGTTAAAATATTTTTTGGGCGGGTTTATCATGGAAGAACAAAATATTTGTAAACAATAGAAGCACAATTTTTGCTGATATATTTCAATCACCGAACAATTTACCGGTAACCGCTCCCCCTTATTTTTTCCATCTCTCTGATACACACATAGGGGACCAAGCATAAAATTCCCAGATTTTCCCTGACGTATGTCTGATGGAATTTCAAAGTTGAAGATCCTCGTTTCAACCTACTTTGAAACATCGGCCAATCGCCCAGAGGATGTGCTCCTAATGAGATAGAATTTAAGAGATTAACTACATGTATTTACTGGGGGGGGGGGGGGCAATGAGATTTCTAGATATGTCCCAGATTTTAATGTTTTTCTTTTCTTTTGCTAGACTGAAAACCTCTCTCTATCTATGGTTGTTCTGCTGAGACTACATCTTGCTCCACTGACCGCCTCTATACAGAAGGTTGACAAATGTCATTTTTAGTGAAGAATTCTTCATTGCATGCAGTTATTTCTGCCTTTTCTGCTCCCCCGACTTAAAGAAAAGAGAGGGAACTCATTTTCCAATTTCCACCTGATTTACTTACACAGGTTTAGCTGGGAGCTCTGATAGATGAAGAACAATTAAAGACAGCAAAATACTTGCAGAATTGGGCAAGATTATAAAATTAGCTACACGCAAATGGCCATTTCACTAATTGAACATGGATGCTTGTCACGTTAATTAAAAAAAGATAATACAAAAAGGCTGCCAGATAATAACTTAATTAGCTATTCACATTAGCCTATGTGCACAAGGGATTGCAAGTTAGGTTTAATACAGAATGCCTACGAAATTTCAATAACTTAATTGTTCCTTATACATCAAAAATCACAATAAGGATTATACTATTTCATCATCTACAAAGCAAAATTCTACTGGTATTGAAAAAAGGATATGTATAGATATTCCAATCCCAAGAAATAGTCACACAAATATCAATGTGCAGATATCAAAAACCCTTCCATGTAAATTCTTATACACACAGCCTGTAATGTACACTAGAGCATTAAGATGCAAAACACATGTGAATTACATGTTAATTTCAATGTCTGTAATGTACACTTCCATGACCTTGTAACATACATGGAAAATCACCTCCTTGAAGTGCTTCCGTGTCCTTCTAACTAACATACTTTACACAGTTTCAAAACACATTTTGAGCACTCGGCTCTAAAAAAAAGAAAAAAGTTGTCCAATAATTATCAAACAAATACTTTGTACATCAATAACTTACACTTGGTTATAGGATAATAAATGCCAATGATACTTCGTTCATCCACTACATCGACTACATTCAAATAGTTCCATATAAATCAGAGGTATAATTAGTTGGTTACCGTAACATCTCAAAACATTTCACTCTTTCCTAAACAGTATATCGTTTAACTCTTCAGGTATCTCATGCAAACTTTGTATATTAAACAACTCTCAAATTCTAACACAGAAACTTGTAAATGTCTGTTAGTCTTGCATCATCTTTCTTGAGAGATGACACATCTTTCTTGAGAGATGACACATCTTTCCGCTTTTCACTAGTGTAAAAACCTTTCCAGGGATCGCCAAGAACAGGCACCCACCATCTAAGCCAAGACCTCACATAGTGCTCATGCATGAACACTCTAAAAGGCTCAATCGATGAGTCCCAAGCTCTGACTTATCACTAACTCCTCCCATCGCTAGTCGCTACCATGTATCTTCTGTAAGCTCACACCAATCGGGCCATTCTTTTGAAGAATAATCAGTTGCTTGCCCAAGATAACTAATGCTAGCCAGTATAAAGCTCCAAATGAGACAGCTTCAGGCTTACATATCCATGGAGTAATGCTGATTGTGCATCAATTGTCTAAATTTCCCATGAAATGATTATCAGAGAGTTACAACTAGATCAATAAAACATTCTTTCCTTTACTTTGCTTCAACAAATTTTAATTCCATTTCCAAAACCAACTTTTTAAAACAAAATCCCTCTAGTTATCCAATCTTCAAAAACAAATACCGGTACTCCCAAGACATCACATCTATCACTTGTTAATTGATTACACAGATCCAGAACAAACTTCCCTTTAGGTGGAGTAACTTAGTTCAATCGTAAATTAAGCTCAGGATAACTCGAGCTGGGGACAATACATGTGAGCAGTTATCATCAAATCACACTGTATACAGATAATTGAGGTCCATTTGTAAATACAATCAATCTCATCTTAGTCATCACCTGTCTACAAAGACCATATTTTCAGTTTCCCTCGATGCGATGCTTCTCATGAAAAACATGTGTTACAGGAAACCTTCGTATAAAGACCCATCTGCCTATAAAAACCTAACGTTGTGTCTACCTTTAATGGTCTTTCTATACACATGTTCAACTATACTTTATCTACATAGATTATACAAGTTGAGCGTGTGTATGGGATTCCCTGTGTGCAGTTGCATTATTCATAAAGTTCTCTATTTTCCCCTTATCTTTGAAACACATTATTCGTTAAAAAATGCAAAACCTACATGTAAGTCAGTTGAAACTGTTATAAGAATCTCTGATCACAAAAATTCCACCTGAACATTTAAAACATGACTATTGCTTCACCGTAGTTCGGTTCATGTATTAAAATACAGTCAAACCTGTCTAAAGCAACCGCCCAAGGGAAACACAAAGAGTGGCCTTTGTAGACAGGTGGTCTTTGTAGACAGGTTCCTTTAGTACATGATTCAATGAGAAACCATTTTCAAGGGAAACAACAAATGTGGCCTTTGTAGACAGGTGGTCTTTGTAGACAGGTGGTCACTAAAGCAGGTTGACTGTAATAGATTCCTCTTTGAATGCATGGACAGTGCAAGAGGTACTCCTCAAAACATCAAATTCAGCAACTGCAATCTTGGATATTTAATAATCGGGTCATAAATGAAAATCGATGAAGCTATGAAGGGTAATAGCCAAGTCACACCCCCAAACTGACCCAAACCAACTGCTTTTCGATAGATACTGGGCTACTTCATTGTAATGTAATTTTCTGTTCAGTCTGCTGGCATTCTGCTATCAGTCTTGTCAGGCTGACTGCAGAATACAACTATCATTGAATAGTTACTTCTTTTTCTTACCATTGTTTGCATCCCTGGGAGATTTCCTCTTATTGGTAACGGATGGGGTTGCTTTTGGTCTTGCGATAAGGAGTGCCTTTGTGGTTGCCTTTGTGGTTACCTTTGTGGTTGCCTTTGTTGGGGTTGTGATAAGGAGTGCCTTTGTGGTTGCCTTAGTGGTTGCCTTTGTGGTCGCCTGTGCGGTTTTCTTTGTGGTTGCATTTGTGGTTGCCTTTGGGGCTGCATTTGTGGCTGCCTTTGGGGTTGCCTGTGGGGTGGCCTTTGTGGTTGCCTTTGTGGTTGTGATAAGGAGTGTCTGTGTGGTTGCTTTTGTGGTTGTCTGTGTGGTTGCCTTTAGGGTGGCCTCTGGGGTTGCCTGTGAGGTTGCCTGTGTGGTAGCTTTTGGGGTAGTCTTTGGGGCTTCCTTTGGGGTTGCCTTTGGGGTTGCCTTTAGGGTGGCCTGTGTGTTTGCCTTTGGGGTTGCCTTTAGGGTGGCCTGTGTGTTTGCCTTTGGGGTTGCCTTTAGGGTTGCCTGTGTGGTTGCCTGTGGGGTTGCCTGTGGGGTTGCCTTTTGGGTTGTCCGTGTGGTTGCCTTTAGGGTTGCCTGTGTGTTTGCCTTTGGGGTTGCCTTTAGGGTTGCCTGTGTGGTTGCCTTTGGGGTTGCCTTTGGGGTTGCCTTTAGGGTTGTCTGTGTGGTTGCCTGTGGGGTTGCCTTTGGGGTTGCCTTTGGGGTTGCCTGTGGGGTTGCCTGTGGGGTTGCCCTTGTGGTTGCCTTTAGGATTGCCTGTGTGGTTGCCTTTGGGGTTGCCTTTGGGGTTGCCTTTGGGGTTGCCTGTGGGGTTGCCCTTGTGGTTGCCTTTAGGGTTGTCCGTGTGGTTGCCTTTGGGATTGCCTTTGTGGTTGCCTTTGTGGTTGCCACTGGGGTTGCCTTTGAGGTTGCCACTGTGGTTGCCTGTGTGGTTGCCTTTAGGGTTGATTGTGGGGCTGCCTTTGGGGTTGCCTGTGGGTTTTCCTTTGGGGTTGCCACTGTGGTTACCACTGTGATTGCCTTTGGGGTTGCCTCTGTGGTTGCCACTGTGATTGCCTTTGGTATTGCCTCTGTGGATGGCTTTGGGGTTGCCTTTTCCTTTCCTGTTCCCTTTTCATCAGATAAAACCTTCCTTCGTTTAAACTTCCTCTTCTCATTCTTGATATCTTTGTCGTTCATGCGTTTGACCCTGATGGTTAATCGGCCAAGGTCGGAGATGGATTGGTACGAATCCTCGAGGTCATTTATGTTGACCATGACACTGCTTCCGTCCTCCAGCTGAAGCTTGAAGTACATACATGCATCCTCATCTACCTCAATCTCCTGCGGCATGGCAGCGATGTCCACAGGCGTTGCTGCTTGGCTTCGAGAACAGGCCCCCGTCTCGTACGTCTTGATCTTGTCTTCGATCTCCCTGATGCAGCTCACTTTCCTGGTGAGGGTGAGCTGCGGATCACAGATGTCTTGGCACAGAGGAACAATCTCAGCCATGCTGATGGGGTCAATGCTACGAGAGGTCAGCCGCGATTGTATGTACTTGATGCGCTTTGCCAGGCTGTGTAAGAATTGGTCTATAGCTTTGGCGTCCCCACTCTCTCCCTCTGCAGCATCTGATTGTGCATTGTTGTTGTCATTCAGGTCTGTTGTTTCGTTGAAGAGCTTCAAAGCATCCTTTGCCTCTGCCTTTAGGATGGCATCCACCTCCCTTGACAGATCTTCCTTGTCCTCCATGGTCGTCGAGGACAGAACGATCTTCTCACAAAGCGGGGCGATCTTCTTGCAGAGCTCTTCTGGTAAGAACTTGCTGGTCTGCAGCTGTTTGATGATGGCCATAGACTGCAAAACTCTTGTCAAAACAAACTCTTCCTCCGTGCCCTCTGTCTTGGCACCGATGCTTGACTGTCCATTTGGTGATGTCAGTTTACAAACCTTGATCAGATCATCCACCTTTGGATCAGTTGCGACGGTTGATGAAGTATTGACTTTAAGCAATGTTGGCAGAGCTTCAACCTTGATGGGAATCATTTGAGCTCCAGACTGTTTAGGTTTGATGTTGATGAAGTTCCGACGGATGAAATCTGCAACCTTCTCCGGGATGACTCCACCACCGAGCTTGGTAATGGTAGGGTTGGCCAGGTTTGGTTTCGTCTGAGCAGGTTGGGCGAGGGTAGGATTGGTGAGAGGAGAGATGGTGAGTGTAGGATTGGAGAGGATTGGTTTGGACAGCACAGGAGTGGAAAGGGCACTATTGCGCACAGCAAACGTAATGGGCCCCTGGGCTACCTGCAGCGACGGAATGTTTTGGACAGACGCCACAGCTGAAACAGCCCCTACAGAATAAGCCAGCTTGGGCACGGGCATCAGTTGGACATTGCTAGGGGGAACTGTGAGAACTACACCATTGCCCATACCACCTCCACCACCACCACCACCACCACCACCCACAAAGCCATTGCCTACACCCCTGATGCTGCCAGCACCGGTGGCGTATGTTCCAATTCCATTACCTAGTTGAATGACCCCATTTCCGAGTCTGTTCCCACCCACATTTCCAGGCGTTTTGATGCCAAACTGAACGGGTATGCCATTCAAGAGACCAATACCGTTGCTCAGGTTCAAATTAAAAACCCCGTTCCCACCGACAACTGGCGCTGTAACATTGTTGAACGTAGCATTGGTGGTGGTGCTGCCATTGGGTGGGGTGTGAACTGTACCCCCATTCAACTGGGTGTAAATAGAGTCCCTGTTCACCGGAAGCTGGAAGGGAGTGCCGTTCAATGGAACGTTGATGGAGCCTCCACTGAGCAGCGTGTGCAGGGTGCCATTGGGTAGGTTGTTGACCTGCTCGGTCGGTGCTGTGGTAGTTCCCTCAGCACCGCTCAGCTTGGAACCCTTCTGAGAAGAATCTGTGACGGACGACTGGGTGACTTTAAATTCTAAGAGAAAAAGACAGAAAAGAATTGAATTTATTTTTATGCCAAGAACAACAAGTACCGGTACTGATAATCAAATTGCTCCATTCTATAAAATAACAAAACTAAATGTTATTAAGATATTTAGTCTGCGAAGCTTCAATTCATGTTTCCTCCCCCCCCCCCCCCCCCCCCCCCTTTCACTTAAATCTGGATTCACTGCAAATACAAATGGGCAACCTGCATAAACTGAAGCTAGCAGATAGAAGCCTTAGTGATTGGTAAAAATAAACTGTAATGATCATTATAAACCTTTAGGTCAGTCAGGAGCCTCATGACTTTCTCAAGCCGATGGCCTGTCTGATTATTAACATATTTATGATTGGAAATTGAAATTTCAAACACTGTTTTCCTAACAGTTTTATAACACTACAGTCTATTGGGAAAAATGAGGGGTAAAAACTGGTCACTCAAAGATTTTTACTTTTTTGAGGCACTTCATGATATTTTGAAGCGCAATTTTTTTAGGGCTTCAATATTACACCATATCACAGACACTGATAGCACGTAGGGCCATGCATCTCAGATTCAACATTGTTATACCATGCCTTTCAAACAAAGACAAACAGACATTCAAGATTCCCAAACTTACACTGGCTAGAGTATATCAAATTATTGCATGTTGATTGACATTTAATTTGAATTCTTGATATCGCCAATACCCCCAAATACCTGGATGTTAGTTTCATGCCTCCATTTTAAATGCACTCTGGGATAGCTTGGTGACCAAGTCGCTTCCGGTCTATCTCGTGCCATCTATTCTTAGCCGGGGCGGCAACCGGTAGTCAGTAGTGACCTAGCTATTGCAATATTTGAATGGTGGTACCTTACACCTCTTTTTTTTATAGTACCGTATATCGTAAGCAATTTTGTATTTTCTTTACGAACTGAAATGTCCGTCGGAAAATGGTGCGATCCTGTGTGCTGGTCGCACAAATATAAAAATTTAAACCTTCAGAGATATCCCTGGATGGAAGATGTGACTTGGATAAAATTCCAAACAAATCCTAAACAGCGTGTGACCTGGACAAATTTGCCCTGAAAGCAAGAGAAGTTTGAAATCACTGCACTTTGACAAAGAACAATTACAAAATCCAAGGAGGTCAATAGCAGCCCACAATAGAGAAATAGCTTTCGGTTACATATATATTGCGCATGCATAAGACCTTTAAAAACTAGATGGAATTCGACTGCGCGCAGTCGAAAATGATGCCTCCGTCATAGAGCAATTTTACAAACCAAAACAGAAGACATTTTTCGAATTCAAGTTCAATTGTAATCCATTAACAGGTTCTCAGAATATCGTGATTACAAGCAATTTCTCATATACATATATGACCCTTTGATCTTTGACCTCATGACCCTAAAATCTACTCAGTTCATTGGCTCTGCAAGATGTCCTGAGTTAAATAGTAATCCATCTGTCAGTTCTAATGAGAATGTGTTCACAAGCTATTTTTGCATACATAATGAGCGCATGACCTTTGACCTCATGACCCAAGAATCTACTCAGTTCATTGGCTCTGCAAGATACATACATGATCTATGTTTGGCAGGAATCCATCAATCTGTTCTAATGATAATGCGATCACAAGCTATTTTTGCATACATGAGCCGCATGACCTTTGACCTTAACCTCATGACCCCAAAATCTAATCAGTTCATTGGCTATGCAAGTAACATACATGACCTAATTTTGGCAGGAATCCATCAATCGGTTCTTGAGAACGCGATCACGAGCTGTTTTTGCATACATAATGTGCGTTGTGGCCTTTGACCTTTGACCTCGTGACCCCAAAATCTAATCACTTCATCGGTTCTGCAAGTAACATACATGACTTAAGTTTGGCAGCAATCCATCAATCGGTTCTTGAGATAATGCGATCACGAGCTGTTTTTGCATACATAATGAGCCCTGTGACCTTTGACCTTTAACCGCATGACCCCCAAATCTAATCAGTTCTTTGACTTTGCAAGATACATACATGACCAAAGTTTGGCAGGAATCCATCAATCGGTTCTTCAGATAACGCGATCACGAGCTGTTTTTGCATACATAATGAGCCCTGTGACCTTTGACCTTTGACCTCGTAACCCCAAAAACTAATCAGTTCATCGGCTCTGCAAGATACATACATGACCAAAGTTTGGCAGGAATCCATCAATCGGTTCTTCAGATAACGCGATCACGAGAACGGGACGTACGTACGTACAGACGTACGTACGTACAGACGTACGTACAGACGGACGGACGGACAACCCGAAAACATAATGCCTCCGGCTACTTCGTAACGGAGGCATAAAAGATGTTGTACTGCCAAAACATAGGTCAGTCAGTCGGAAATCTTTCTTTTCTTTTTTGTTATTTTTTTTTCTTCCTCCCTCTTTGGATGGATATTTCTCGGTTTTGAATGCTTTAATTTTGTTTTCTCTAAAAACGGTAAACAAAAAAAAAAACTATTTTTAAAAAGCCCACTGTAGATTTAAAGATTATTGGGTCGGTCGCAAAGGGCAATAGAACATCTTTTTGTTAAAGGCCTAATACGTGTACATGTACCTCGCGCATGCCGCATGCATGTGCCGTATAATTGCGTACACCAGAGGTATGCAGTTTGAAATCCCAGAAGTGGCTCGAAATGACATCCAGAGGGCGCACACCCCAGCATTTGAAAGTATTGGCGATAGTGAGAATTGATAGGGAAAGGCCTTACACATGTGTGGTAACATACCAGAGGAAGATGTTCCATATGCTGGACTCCCTCCCTTTGAAGGTCCATTCTGCGTACCATTCAGAGTTAGTCCACTGCCGTCAGCTGGAGGGGTGATGCACTGCCGTTGACAAGGACCTCATCATCATGCCCATTCTCTGTCTTCCTCTTCTTCTTCTTGGGTTCTTCTCCCCCCTCCTTCTCATCATCCTCCTTTATCTCCTTCTCTTCCTCTTTTCCATCTTCCGTGTCTGCTGCCCTCTTGGCAAGAGATTGGAGAGTAGGTATTTTTTGAAGGTCGATTGAGGTAGATGGTGCCTTTGAACAGAAGCAAAACATAATATTATTTCTCTTACATTAATTCATTCATATATCGTCGGTGGGGTGACAAACCTCGTATCTCAAAAATCATGAATTTTTAGGAGAGCAAAAAAACTTTCCTGTCTCAACAAATGTAGTGCTGTGACACCGTCCTTTCTTTTCAAAACTGGAATATTTATACAATTTTTAATGTCATTGTTGAAATACAGTAAAATAATTGTTTCTATATTTGAAAGTGAGTTACAAGGTTTTTGCGTTTATCTACATTGAGATATGAGTTTTTAGTTTGTATTCAAATTGAGATACAAGTTCTTACTTTCAACTCTGAATGAGTTACGAGGTTTTGGTTGAATAAGTTACGAGGATTTGAATACACTAACTTTGGTACTGTTAGTCCGTGTGTGAGTTACGAGGAAAAGGAATTACGTATCTTATGTTACGAGGTTTTGTCAGTGCAGTTTCAAAGGGGGTTAAAGTTACAAGGTTTAGTTTAAGGGTGTTTGTGTGGAATTTGTGAAAAAAAACGAGAAGGAGGCGTTCCATGGATTTATCAGGTGTGTCGTAGGCCATTAGGTACAAAATTAGGCCAAATAATCAAAATCTCAACAATTGAGATCAGAGGTTTTGTCACCCCACCGACGATATGTGTTTTCATTTATTTGTTAATTTTCACATTTTATCCATCCATCTACCTATAAATATGTATCTACTTTAATATGTAATTATTCATTTCATTTATCATATGGAATCAACATAATTTCTACTTCAAAATATTGTAAAGCCTACCACACACTGATTTTCAATGAAATCACAATTGCGTTAGATAAAAAATTGGGCATTATACAACTGTTTCCTGTTTCATGTTCTGAATAAAAATACGAGTTACATGTAGCCTTCTTCTAAGAATAAAACAAAAATGGCTTCAAATCCTAGGCAGTTGCACTACTTACATACATGTATATGTACATACATTATTGTTTGCGGTTTTTTCACCATGATTTTGAGCTAACTTACAGTAGCTCTTATGATGAACCTCAACTAATCGCAATATAGGTCATTCAAATTTTTAATGTTGGAATATCTACATCAACAGCTAAAACAAAATATTCAAAAATTGGATTGTAGTCAGATTGAATATGGGCTTAATCTTCAATTTTTGTACATTTCTTCGGCATGGTAAAAGATTTTAACCTAAATGTTGGGACCAAGTTTCCAAGCATGCCCGTAAATTGTGAGATCTAGAAAGTACTGTACATGTGCTCTCACCTTGCTAGGCTTTGCATTGCTTTGATCAGTGAGCTCTGTAGAGTTGGTGCCAGCAGGAGTAGCCTGTGCCTTGGTGGGTGAGTCTGCAGGGATGATGACAACCTCAGGTACCGCTGCACCCGATGATGTCCCGGCTGCATAGGTTCCACCTAGCTGGATCATGGGCTGATCAAGAGCACCGCCGTTAGGAAGCATACCATGTGACCCTGAAGCCTTTGCTTGCGGATATTCTTTGACCTTCAAAGGACGTGCACTTGCAGCAGCGGCTGCGGCAGCTCTGGCAGCTACCGACGCTGCTTTGGGCCCTCTCCCCGATCTCCTTCTTGCGTTGTTCCTCCACCTCCTTGAGAATGGCAATGAGGGCCTTGGTCTGGAGACGCCAGAAACCTTCGCTGACGGCGACCCTTCGGCTGCTGTAGATCATTGTCAAGGCACGCATTGTCTTTGTGAAGCAACCAAACATGCAGTTGTCAAGCTCCTGGGAGAAATTGATGGAGTCCTCCATAGAAAGATCCCCTTTGAACCCGCCAAAGAGCTCTACCGGGGCTATCGTGTTCAGAGGAGGAACGGTATAGTTCTGAGTCCGGTATATGAGGTCGTCAAGGGTGGGGAACAGAGGTACATCCTTCAGCTTCTGGCTATGACAACCCATGGGGATCTTATAGAGGATCTTGTCGGCTTCCTTGTAGTTCATCTTGTCCGACTCGTTACAAGGGCCCTGCAGATCAAAGTAAAGCTTGTAGGCAACTTCCCTGGACAGCTTCACAACGGCTGGATTAGTCACCATATCCTTGTTGAACTTTGAGGGCTTGGCGTAGTTGGGCATGGAAAAGTTTGTGGGACCTTTCAACAGTTCATTCCTGATGGTATCCACCAGTTTGTTGGCATCCGGTAGATCCACCTTGATCCTTGAGATGTAGGCATGGGGAATCTTACTTGGCTCAAGGTATGGATCCTGCATGGCTGCTATCGTGCGATTTGCCGACTTGTAGTCAGGCCCTTGCCTCATCTCTTGCAGAATCTTGCTTACAGGGGCATTGGAACTCCTGCCCATTCCAGCGGAAGGGTAACGGCTTGTCTTGTAGGTTATTGAGCTCTTGGAGATTGGATGTGTGATTTTGTTGGAGGGGCGGTACACTGCTGAATGAAAGGTCTTTTTGTGGTGTTCCAAGGCATCTCTTGTATAGCAATCACGGTCACACATAAGGCAAACATAGGGTGTCCTTTGTGTCCTCACCACAGGGTATCCATCGCGATTAATGACAGATTTGCTTACAACTTTACTTGCAGAAGAACCGCCTTGGTGCGCGACAACAAGAGTGCGATTGCTGTTTGTGTTCCCGCTGCTGACTTGACTTGTGCACCAGGTAGGGTTGTCTTGCCAGAGGCGCCTACAGGCGTCTTCTTTCGCATCAGCTGCCGAAAGTAGTTGTGGATCTTTTGCTCATGCATGTCACGCTGACACTCCAGAATGAAGGACTGTCTGCACTGGGCACAGGGAAAGCTGTGCGTGCGCAGCCTATGGATCTCGTAGTCGCACTGGCTGAACAGCGTCGAACTGTAATGACAGTGGGGACAGCTGAAATGGGAACCAGGACGTTGCTTCATGTGAACAGATGCGTCCTCCATCTTGAAGAAGGCCTGATGGCATCTCAGGCATTCGATCATCCACTTTTCTCCTGATGGAAGAGTCACATAGGTATTTCCCATGCGAACTGTTGTCAGGTAGACACGGCCTTCATCCTTTTTCTCACTTTCATCCGCACTGCTGTTTCCGCCACTCTCGGTCTGCTTCACATCCGTTACTGCTTTAGACTGAAGGACCTTACTCTTTTTTACCGGGGAATCGTCAGAGATGCATATAATTTCAGGTTCATCACTTTTTTTGTCCTTTGATTTAAACCTCTCTTCTTTGCTCTCCTCCTCCTTTGCCTGCTCTACACTGGAATGTTCATTAGCTAACGCATCTGTTTTCACAAGTTCATTTTCACCGTTTTCGTTAGCATGCTTTACGGTTTCATTTTGTGTTGTTTCACTCCAGCCACTTTCATCATCTTTTAATTTGTCAGTTTCCGCTTCAGGTTTTGTAGAGTCTTTTTCACTTGCATTGTTATCATCATCATCTTTTGTAAGGTCTACCGGTTCTGATTCCTTTTTCTTTGTGTCCGTTCTTTTCGGCATCTGCTTCCTGCTTCGCACGTATCTCCGAGCGGGGCCTCATCCTCGCTAAAACCTCCTCCGGAATGTCAACACCGTGTACCATTTGGACGTGGCTCATGAAGTTCTTTCGTAGCTTGAAGCAGATGCAGCAAGCCTCGCAACGGAACTTTGCCTGGCCGTGAAGACAATGGAACTGCTGAGCGAACATGTTCGCAAAGTACATATCACATGCCGTGCAATAGTAGCCCCAATTGTACTTGACCTTTTCATTACTGATGTTTGTCACCTTGGCAATTTTGATTGTTGTTTGTTCTGGAAAACAATAGCCGGTGACTGCTGTTGCTGCTGCTCCTGTTGATGCTGCTGTTGATGCTCTTTTTGTAGCTCTTGCAGCTGTTGCTGATGTTGCTGATGCAGCAGCTGATTTTGTTGTTGTTGGTGTACAAGCAATTGTTTCTGTAACGCTCTATGAACTTCTGCCTGGTGACTAGACTCTGCTTTCTTCTCTTTGACTTCTGGGGTTGCGACTTTAGGCGGCTTCTCTGCTTTTTTGTTCTTCTTGGGTGTTTTGGGTTTAGGGCCCCTCTTATTGGGACTTTTTTCCTCGATAGGAACGGGTACTTCCTTTGGATGAGTGGTGGCTATGTGATAATCCAGCTTGCTCTTACGAGAGAAAGACGCCTTGCACTCTTTACAGGGGTAGGACTCTGTCATCATACCTCTCATCTCCATTCCAGAGCTGAGACGACTCAGTCTCCTTTCCGCTAACGTCATTGATGACCGCCGCTTGGGACTACCCTCCTCCTCATCGTCGTCCTCTTCGTCATCCTCACTCTCGTCTTTCTGCTTTTCTTTCTCCTCTTCTTCTTTGGTGTCCACCTCCATTATATCGTCTTCTTTTCTACTCATCTTTGCTGACTTGGTGTTTATCACCTGCAAAGAGTAAATGAAACACCAAGATTAGAATGATTCCGGTGAATAAAAATAGTTTACAATCATCCAATATAATTGAGTTCTGGTAAAATCGGGCTCTTGGCTAATAAAAAATTGGGATTGATTTGGATTGACTGCAAGTATGATGACTCTGTAACATTGCCTCAGATACTGAAAAAATCCTGGATTTAGCTCAGGCTGCAATCATCATTATAAACATTTACAAGTACGTCAGTCAGGAATCCCATGACTTTTACAAGCCGATTGCCCGTCTGATTATCAAGATATTTATGATTGGAAATACATGTAGAAATGTCATTTTTTGTTTTCCTAATGGTTTTTATAACATTACAGTGACAGTCTATTGGGGAAAATAAGTATTGTAAAACCGGTCACTCAAAGATTTTTACTTTTGGAGGCAGATTTTTACTTTTTGGAGGCACATTGTGAAGCGCCATCCGTTTAGGGCTACAATATTACACCATATCACAGACACTGATAACACATAGGGGACTATCTTGACGAGAAGACCTTATAGTACCTTTGATTCCATTTAGTCATTTGCACCTGCTCTGTATTTCTGATTTGTATACCATGTCTGTGCATATGTTTTAATTGGAATTAAATAAAATGGAACTTCAACTTGATTCCACCCAAGCTATGAAGGGCGACCCTATTAGGGTTAAAGCGGAAATCATAGTCAGAAGAATTTTCTTCAGAACTACTGAAATAGACGAGAGAGGCCTTCAAATTTCCATTGTTTCCTTTCTTTTATAGGAAGCATGTTGAAATTAATTGCATATCTAGTACTTAGACTAAGGCTTCCACCCCCCCCCCCCCCTACAAAAAAATTGATGCAAGTGTTTAGACCACTACCGTAGATCTCGGTTGAAATGGTGCCCAGGACACAAAATCAAGGTCTGAAGTCTGTCTGAACCCCTGAAATTTCAAAAGTTTTACATGGGTGCTGGGGCTCATGCATAATGCTATTTATATCCGTCCTCCGTTCATTTCTACAAACTATTTCACTGGGGCCTAGTACAGCCCTACAGCTTTACAAGCTTGCTTTCATGTAGGTCCCATCATATTTTTTCTCAGTTAAATCAGTACTCTATATTGACCACTTATGTTATTTATTATGTATCATTGAAAAAACAACTTGTACTTATTTGAAATTACATGAGAAATATGAAAATAAATGAATTGAAATGAAATAATGAGTAGACTCATTAGACTTATTTTAAATCCAGACCCGCTTCCAAAGATGTTAGTGTGTACTGTGTAGCTCTGATTAAAGGAATGATTCCATCACACATTCCTACCAGTACATTTTATTGACCTAGAGCAGAGTTGTCACAGATCTAAAGTATTTGTAATTGATACAGAGTTTTTTATTAATCTGGGCATGTGCAGAGATATCCAAGATCCTACAATGGATAGAACTGACTTATCTTCCAGAATATTTTAATTAATGAGGGAGACAGAGTTTTATTCCAACAAGTATGATGGGGGGGTTGCAGAGACGCCAAGTTCAAAGATCGGCAGTGCGTGACATTTTCATGATTCGGCGCACGATCGCGCGTGCGAGGGTATAACACACGTATAAGGTATAGCATTTTTTCAAAATCTAGCATGCGCGTCGTGCGTAAGAGCATTTTCAGACCCTCGAAATGCATGATGTCACGCCTAATGCGTGACACTTGGTAGCTCTGGGGTTGGGTGTGCGGAGACTTAACAAATATACAGCCTTTTCTTTTACCTTCATATTAAACAAAAATATTCATCAAACAGCATTAACCATCATGAATATTTGTCCTTTCTGATTTAGTGTCTAACATGAGTCTTCAAAGATTTATGAAATATTTACTTGTAAAATTCTTCGATATAAAGGTGAAGTTGAGTTCTGGTCATGCGATTGCATCGTGAAAGAAACGGTGTGGAATCGACCAGAAAAGGTTGATCATCTAGCATATAAGAATTTGTGTGTATTGCAAGGTTCTGGAATCATCAAAATGATAGAAATTGGCCAAGTCTTGGTAAAGTTACAAACACTGTACACAGAAAGATGTATATGGGACTACACGAACATGTGGCGTAAAAAAAACCTACCCCCCCCCCCCCTCCGAGTTTTACGATGTACATGACATATTTAGAATATGAAGGCAGTTGAAGAGCCAGGCTTTTCAGGGAACATGTCTCATCTGATGTTCTTCCACACTTGCATAATAAGAAATGCTCACAAATTATTTTTCACCCCTTCCCAGAACACAACCTTCTCTTTAATTCAATCTTATTTTTCTGCAAGTCCAAACAAAATTAAGAAAAGGCATACGAGCCAAAAACAGGGGGGGGGGGTTCAATTCTATTTGGACTAAGATTGTTATCTGTGGCCCGTTCCTAGAAACCATCATAAGTCTAACTTCTTGACTATCCCATTGAAAGGCGTGTTAATTCTATAACACACGCTTCAATGTGATAGTAAGTCAAGAAGGTAAACTTATGACGGTTTCTAGGAACAGGCCCCAGATGTTTAACGTACAGGCATTAACAATTCACATTGATGTGATTTTAGAACAAAATCCTTTACAAAAAGTTCTTATACTCAAGTTATATGTAACAAGACTTCCTGAAGGCTGAAACTGACATTTAATAAACTTGAAACTTGAAACTTGAATTTAGTTATGAGTAAGTTGGAGTAGACTAGTAGGAGTAAGATCCCCCTCCTGACATCCCACCATGCCCACCCCATAAAAGAGCCATGTTTTGATATTTATTATCATCACTAAATAATAGTTTTTCACAAACTACCACAGTTATTTGCATTCACAAGAATGTTTAACACTGATACTATAAGTGACAAATATATAAGACAAACTAGGCAGTCCAACTCAAAGTGGAACAAAGGATTTACATCAGTGCCCCCCTAGCGCCATGTTGGAAATCTAATTGACTGGACACAACCACTCCAGTCTTAGGGGTGAGTTCTTCCCATGATAAAATAAAAGGTATTTACAAGGGAAATTATAATAAAAGAAAATTAAATAAAACTATGAGCAAGTGATATTTACATACTTTATGAAAAATGAAACAACAAGAAACTGCAATCTTGGTAATTTGTAGCTTAGCAATAATTTAATTGGATACAAAATATGTTCAAGCAATTAGTTAAAACCTCAAGTTTGTTTTCTTCACCCCTATTTCCTTCATAACAATGGAATGGTCCAAATTATCTTCACTAAAACTAAATCTCTGTTTCTACTGAAACTGGGTGAATTTGGCCCTGATTTGCTTCAAATCCAAACATAACTCAAACTGCATTATATAGATAATACGTCTATGCATTTAAAATTTGACAAACTGTACAAAATCTTCACCAGTATAGTATCAATGTTCAAATATAGCGCCGAGCGACAACACTCATTCATTCAACATAGACAATCCTAGTCTCCATTCGTTTCCACGTATAATGTGTATGTATCTCTACACGCGTACACAAACGGAGACTACGATACAACGAAAAGTGTTAACGCACCTCCCTAAAATGTAGTCAAACTATCACTGTAAGACCACGTAAATACAATAATTCTGTGACAGGGTGAATATTTACCTCTTAAAAAGTACCATTGTGAATTCAAATTACAGCTATCGACGAATATGTTGTCGTAATGGTAGTGAACATATGACCTATATATGCTCCCTTCGTTCGCAGGATGGCGGGGTACACAATAGCAATACGATTTTTTTCCTCCTGTTTCTCCGGCTCTCTGCACCTAACGCAAAATGGCCGTATTACCACTAACAAACTGAAAACCGAATTGCGTCGCGTACAGTAAACACCCGTTTACTCGGAACACACACAGCGCGCGCACACACACGGACATTGAATAGTTGTCATGGTAAAAGAAAAGTATTATTACAATAAAATATCATTATTATCACTGCAATACAGCAAAATGAGATTTAAGCAACATTTCACTTCATTTTATTTTCCTCCCTGTTTGCTTATTGCCCCACTATTGGTATATCTATTTCATGTTTGTATTTCGGGAGGGGGGGGGGGGGGGGGGGGGGGGGGGGGGGAGGGGGGGGGGGGTTCATAATTTCATTTGAGAATTTGCATGACTCGACCTTCTCAAAGTCAAAGAGTTCGGGTCTACCTTTCGTATTTCAAATAGTCTTTATGCTATTCGATTAAAAAAATCTTTTTGTTATAAGCCCTATCATTCTGCCAAGTGAAAACGTATGAGATGTGTAATTCTCAATATTGAGTCTCAACATAGATTTCTGATTTAAATAATAATAATCAGGATCAGGCCCAAGTACACTTTGATATAAAAATTAAAGGTCTACTGTTCGCAGAATGCTTTACATTTAATTGATAAAAGTTGCCATTCCGTCAGTGGAGAAACAATAAAAAGCGTAGCTATAGAATATACAGAAAAGCTCAGTCAAATTAGATCGTTGTCCAGGTAACTTCTAAACAACAGAGCCTGCACACGAGGTTCACCTCGAAATCATTCAAACAACGGGCTAGAGCAGGGTAAATTCAGTGTTTGGGGCTTGTGTGATCATCGCATCATTGTTTAGCACAAAAATAAACAGTGCAACCTTGACAAATTGGCCAGTATGAGAAACGTTGTGCCCCCAGAGGGTAGCCCCACACATTGCCCATTTGTTTTTTGTTGTTAATAAAGTGCCCCTGTTTATTATCTTTAGAAAAATGGAGTAATGGGATTTCAAGGAATGAAGTGAATAATTCATATGCAATGGCCAGGCCGCGTACGCAGGGGGGGGGGTCGAACTCCCCTCTCATTGTGTTGGTGTATTTTGGAGGAACCCCCCCCCCCCTCCCCTCATTTTAAAAAATAATAATGATAATTGTGCTAATGGGCGACCAAACAAAAGTGAGCTTACCCCCCCCCCCCCCCCCCCCCCCCCAACGGAACGAAATATCGATCGGTCAAATTGTCAAATTTCCGGGACAAAAAAAGAAAAAAGAAAAAAATGTGCTCTAATATGAGCATACACCCCTAAACCTGCATTGAATTTTAGTTCCACATCTCCATTTTAAAAGCGATCTTTAAAAAAATAAGATATGACAACTACATGAAAGCTCATCAAAGTGGTATAAAACATATACAAAGGGAAAAAAAGATTAATGTTAATGTGGTGGGATCATAAAAAAGTTAGGTAAAACTTGTAAACATGAAATCAAAAGACAGGAATACATCATCGCATGCACGGCCTAACTCAGTATGGATTATCTTAATATCCACACTAGTCCAGCCTCATATAGTAGTTGAGTTTGAGCAACGATCGATTTTCGATTTTTATTATTATTATCATTATTATTAACACTTTTTTGTTGGGGGGGGGGTATATCCTGACTTTGAACAGTTTTAAGGGAAAGGCGCCCCGTTAAGTCTATGTTTCTCCGCATCATAATCTTCTTTTCATTAGGCCTATTGCCAGGCTCAAACTATAATGGCCTGAATTCACATAGGAGGTTGGTAGACAAACCTCGGTTTATGTGCATCATAATGACGCGTTTCGATGCGTTTCAGACCAAGGTTCAGATAAACCTCCTTTGTGAATTCGAGCCAATTATGAGTCTAAGATCTCTCTTATGTTATGGGGTAAGGAGATTTGAAGCATGTCGTACAGGGGTCTTCCTCCAATCGAGGTATAGGACGAACAGATGGATTAAGATTTTTTTTTTTAATGACAAAGTAAGAAAAGTCGAAATCAATTTTAAAAAGAGTCACTGCGAAGAATCAACCATCTTCTTTCCTTCATGATTCTTTAATTTATACCTTCTTTGTCTTCATATCTTTATTCTATTTATTGTTTTATTCTCAGGCTTGACTAGCTTCTCCTACTTTTTCCCTGTTCTTATTCCTTTATTTTTCCGGGCCTTTTTCTTCCTCCATTATTTTCTACTTTCATCTTATCAAACATTGAACCAATATTTTCAATAGCCTATGTTGTAGCCGAAGTGTGTGTGCGTTGTGTAAGGTTCCACATTGCCGGATATTCGGATAGTCTGCACGCGCGTTTCTTCACCCCCTTTATTAGTGGTGGACGTGCCCATTAAATTTGTTTACGAACGCCTGTGCGTCCGTGCGAGCTATATGGAATATAATATCGGGCATCCGTTTGTAAAGCACTGGGGTAGTTATTCCACAGCTATTCAATGTTTTGTTTCAACTCGCTCGTTTGGATAATTGAATAAATATGAAAATTCCGGAATGGAGCAGATATTGGGGGGGGGGGGGGGGGGGTAAGATATCAATTTCTGCCTTTAAACACAAGTTTTAAGAATCGTGGGGGGGGGGGGGGTATGTTTTAGCCAAGTGACGTCATACGCCCGGTTGGAAACGTTGCTCCAAAAATGGTTGTATGCAAATTAGGTAGGAGTGGAGGAGAGTCGTGACATACTTGTGGGGGAGTAGGGGTATATTCAAAGGGGTGTTTGGTAAGGGGTGCGTTAGAATTGACTGGCTTATAAAACAGCAAAGCATCAACCTCTCTCTCTCTCTCTCTCTCTCTCTCTCTCTTTTCTCTCTCTCCTTCTCTCTTTCTCTCCCTCTTTCTCTCTCTCTCTCTCTTTCTTCTCCCTCTCTCTCTCTCTTCTTTCTCCCTCTCTCTCTCTCTTCTCGCTTTCTTTATCTCTTTCTCTAAGTTCTCTCCCTCTCTCTCTCTCTCTCTCTCTCTTTCTTCTCCCTCTATCTCTCTTTCTCGCTCTCTTTATCTCTTTCTCTCTTTCCCTCCCTCTTTCTCTCTCTCTCTCACACACAATCGTTCGTTCGTACTATATCGTTTTAATCATTGTCTATAAACCCCTTTCTGTTTTTGTTTCGAATGTTCAGACTGATATACAAGCTGATTGCCACTATTTGCAGACTTAATTTGTTTTCTTCTTCTCTCTGTATCTTATTCCAAATCAATGCATAATCGTCATAGCTAAAAGGACATGAAAATCAATGTGATTTCTAAATAAATTACGACGATGGAGTGTCTACTCGAACGTATGTGTTTACTTTTTATTATTTTTTATTCAAAATATGATTTGACTTGAGCAGTAAAAAAAAAAAATAGATGACAGGAAAGCTGATCAAATTGAAGAAGAAAAAAATCTTTGTGGCTGTAATAAATACCTCAACTCAACGGTAAAAAGGACGTTGGGCATTGACGAAACATGGCGGTAGTGTCCCATTTGCAGAAAGCCGACATACCACATTTGACTTATTAATAAAGATTATTCGGGCATTCCAGGGGTGGGGATTTTTGTGACATACCAGAAGTGAAAAACCATGTCTCCTATCAACCATATAACAATACTTGCTTAAATTGGCAAGGTATTAATCTACATTTGCCATACTCTACCCAGGTGAGGTAAATGGGTACCCGATAGGAAGAAATTCCTTGAATGATTCAGCACCTTTTAATGGTAGCTTTTTAAAGCCGAGGTAATAATGTGATTGTAGGGCCCTCAGGGAGAACAGTATGAATACTGAGGCTACCCTGGGTAAAAAAGACATATTATTATTATAATTATTATTATTATCTTTAAAAACATAGCCAAACTATATTTACACGTTCTCTGGCTTCGAATCAATAATAGGCCAAAGTATATGTAATTTTTGTATGTCGTGGTGGTAGCAAAAACCGCACATCAAGCAAAGAGTTTGAAAAGAAGCACCAGGAACAAAAATAATATATAATTCTTGCAGGGCATTTTCATTGCATTACATCTTCCACAGACTATTTCATCTTCCATGTGTAGTAGAAGTTATCATACAATGTTACATGGACATCGTTATATTTGTTGTCCAAACCTCAATGAATACCCTATCACATCAATATCTGCCCCTTTTTGATATAATTATGTTCTACTTCCATCTTCCTTTATTTTGATTGCGATTAAAATAAACATTATAGCCGGTTTTACTTGTCATACGGAACCACCGCTATCGATGATATGAGAACAATAATCTCTTCGCTAGAACATCAATAACAGATTGAATATGCCTAATATAGGCTTATGAATGGACATGCCAAACTGGTGGCTTTGTTTCTATCGATACAAGAGCACTTAAAAAGGAATTAATTTTATGATTGCTCGTACATATTGTTTCCCCGAATACAGAAACTTATTTTTCAAGCATTTTCAGAGTGTAAATCAAAGCAAAACCTCTCTTCAATGCCTGCCAACTGTCTGTTCATCTTTCACTATGAACATGACAGACAAAGAAAGCGGACAAAATATACAGTTCCTCAGGTAGACAAAGGAACATCCCTTCACTGCTATTATGTAAAAAGGCGAATATGCATGTGACACCTGTTTTACACCTTTTTACCAAATAGCAGTGAAGGGATGTTCCTTTGTCTGCCCGAGGAACTGTACGCTTTCTTTGTCTGTCATGTTCATAGTCTTTATAATAATAATCTCGATTGATATAGCACTTAATACGGAGTACCGTCTCTAAGCGCTATACAGACCAATGTTATCCCGGTCATCGGATTCATTCACGCACAATGTGCACCATCTCCATTCCATGTGGAGTTTTCCTACCAGTATGGTCACCGTGAGGGTATAGTCAATTACTAACACCATGATGCTTTCGTCATCCTATTGTGTCCCCATCTCTACCTTGGGTATTGAGTGGCAAATGTAGGTTAATGCCTTGCCAAAGGACATTAGTACTGTGTCGGGGATCGAACTACGACCCTTGAATTTCAAGTCAAGTGCTTAAACCACTCGACTTCAAAACTTTGAC